ATGCCCATGCCGCCATGCGCCGCCCTCACACCCACACGCCCCACCCCCACCCCCACACCCACGCCCACCTTCATGGGGTGGTTGAAGTCGCCGATCTTCATGGGCCGCTGCAGCCCGCTGTTGATGGTGCAGCTCACGCGCACCACGTCCTGCACCGCCATGTCGCCCGCCACGCACGCCACGGGCACCGTCAGTGGCACGCGCACCTCGCTGTACCCGTGCCGCCCCACCATGGCCTCCACATATGTCGCATGCACGCGCACACTGCTGCCCTCCGGCACCTGGTGAGGGGGGGAGGGGTGGACGCCAGGCAGGGCGAATGCCCCAAGGTGACTCTAGGGTTTGGTCGGAGACCGCCCTGCCATGGGCTCCATGTATGTCTCATGCACGTGCACACTGCTGCCTTCAGGTACGTGGCCAGGGAGGGGCGGGCGAATGACATGAGATTAAGTGGACTTCGCAATCGACCCGCCAACCAGCACGGCTTGCACATGGCACACACCGCTGCCCTCTGGTGCCGGGTGAGGGAGAGGGGGATGGCCGAGAGGCGGCGAGAGGCGGGGAGGGTGGCCAAAACGACCTATGCTTTGGCTCGGTGGCTCCCCGCCATGGCCTGCTGCCTGAATGCGTGTGGCATGCAGCCGGCACGCACGCGCACACCGCTGACCTCTGGTGCTTGGTGAGGGTGGGGAAGAGGGAGGAGAGGCAGGGCTGCGGGGCAGAAGGCTAAAGGGAGGCGTGAAGAAGGGATAATGGGGAAGGTACGAGAGCAACGGAGGGACGGTGGGAGAGAGACGTGTAGCGGCAGTGGTGTACATGGCAAGGGCCAGAGGGGATGCGCGGTGTGTGCACCTTGGGTATTCTCACTCGCAGCATGTGTGGCATGTGTGTGTGGCATGTGTGTGTGGCATGTGTGTGTGGCATGTGTGTGTGGCATGTGTGTGTGGCATGTATGTGTGGCATGTGTGTGTGGCATATGTGTATGGCATGCGTGGTGTGTGCACCTTGGGTATTGTGAGTCTGAGCATGTGCGGCGTGTGCACGTCACTGTCATCCAGCAACACTGCTGCATGCCGCCTGGAAACACACCGCATCCCTCCACTCCCCTCCACCTCCACCTCCTCCTCCTCCTCCTCCCCTCCCCATCTTCTCCTCTCACTCTCAACACCCTCACCACCCCCACCTTCACCCGCACCTACTCCTCCCTCCATGCTCGCACTCACACTACCATTCTTCCCTCTGCCCTCAACCCACTCGCCCTCCCTATTCGCCCCAACCCCCCCATCCCCATCCCCCACCCCTCCTTGGCTCCTCCACCGATGCCTGCTGCTGCCACTCCTGCTAAAGCCAGCAGAAGACAGCCGTAGGAAGGAGGAGCGAGCCGGCTTGGGCGGCGGGGGCTGGGCGGCTGAGTGGGCGGCAGCTGCCCGCTCTTGGCTCGCCCGGCACGCTGCCTCTGCCTCGTGTGCTGGGACCACTGCAGTTGCAAGGAACCTTCCATCGGCTAAGGTCACCTCCACTGCTGTCACATAGCCCTGGGAAAGGGGGGTGGGACAGAGAATGGGCGAGGGGGGTGGTGGGACGAAGGGGAGATTGGAGTTTGGGTTTGGATGATGAATGCAATGAGGTAGAACTGGTGTCATGTCAAGGGGCGGAGGGGAGGGGGGGAGGGGGGGAGGGGGGGAGGGGGTAAGTGGGAAAAAGGAAGGAAATGCATGCGTAGGAGAAGCAGAGTACACTTTAAGCAGTGGTGGTGAGGGCACGATGGGTAAAGCTGTCTGAGCGGCCCCTACCCTGTGAGTCATGGGCAGCACAAAGAGGCAGTCGCAGCACCGCTGCTGCTCCTCCCCTTCGCCTCCCCCTTCGCCTCCCCGTTCCCGCTCCCCCCCCTCGCCGCGCCCCCTCGCATACTCCCCCAATTCCCACGTGCCCTGCACACTAACAGTTGCTGTCGTCATCAAGCACTCCACAGTGAGCGACAGTGACGTCAGCATGACAGGCACTAGCCGGGGCACCGCAACTCCCCCCGCGAATGCCGCTACTCCCCCCTCATTCCCGCCTACCGCCCCCGCCCCTACGTCCCAAGACTTCGCCCGCGCGTGCGCTCCCCTTCCCCCCTTCGCCGCCCCGCCAAGCCCAGCTGCGCCGTGCGGGTTGCGCGCGTTGCTGGTGGGGGAGGAGGCGCGCGGATGCGCGGAGGGGAGCGGGGGAAGCGGGTCGGAGGCGGCGGGAAGCACGGCGTAGAGCATGGGGCACGGGGGCACCGCGGAGAACCGCGGATCGTCGCGGGCAGTGGCGCGGGAGGAGTCGGGGCGGGGAAGCTCGGAGGCGGAGGCGGAAGAGGGGAAGGCGGCGGCGGAGGCGGAAGAGGTGGAGGCGGAGGAGGGGAAGGCGGAGGAGCGCGACGCCCGCCCCGCCATGCTGTGACGAACGATCCCTGGCGGATTGGACGACTATTGGACAAACGGAGGACGGCACGACAGGGACGGTTGTTGCGATGATCCCGGACGGTCGGCTGACATAGAAGGTTCGAGCGGCAGGGTGCGTGTGCGTGTGCGTGTGCGTGTCTGTGGGTGCTGATTCCCTAGGAGCCGCGAGCGGTGTGCGAGAAGCAGGGAGAGGAGGAGAGGAGTCACAACGAAGGGACGGAGTGCAGAGGGCGGACGGTAACGTGGTTTTCGCTATCGACTCAGCCGTGCAGGACCGTTACGACGCGAGTCCAGAAGCCAAGGCGACCTTGCGCAACCGAACCACTTGCCAGGAGGAGCCATGATTTTCCATTTGCCGGTTTCTGACCCCTTCAGTCCACACTTCAAGGTTGTGGCGACACGATCGACTGTGATGTTACAAGCACGATTGTGCAAAACTTCTCTACCTTACCACATATTCTAGTAGTAGCATACACTCAAGAATGTGGACCCAATACGCATTCCTGTATAGATGTCTAAAATAAAAAGAAACAAAACACACCGGAATATGTTGGTGAAACGCTTTTTAAACTCACTGGTGGACAACCACCATCGTCCCACAAAAGTTTCGATTGCCCTTCCCCATACCATCCAACCCAAAATTCTGGAGAATGAAGAGAGGAGAAGTCGAGAATTGTAGAAAATGGCACATGAAACTCGCCCAAAGAACCCAACCGGGCACCATGTGAGATCACACTTTGGTTGTCGCGGTGTTACTTGAAGGTCTGCGACGTAGTGAGTTTCGCTTCATCAAGAAGTTCATGCAGGTAGAGGCCTTCGGGAACTGTTGTAGTGGCGGCGATGAACACTGCTTCAATCGGTGATAGTATTGGGCTGAGAAAAGCCCTTAGGATCTTTTGCAGAGACTAAGTCCCAGCTGTAGAGACTTTGAGACTTTGAGTAGTGCAGCGGAAGTTGAGGCAGTTGAGCCCTTGTACTAGTATGTGAGAACAAGTGATTAATTAAAGAAACAAGCATACAGCAATATATAGAAGATAGGAGGGCAGTTGTAGAATACAGTTACAGGAACGGTTTATCGAGTCGCACAGCGACTCGATTGCCGCTTCGGTTACCATCCGTGATGTTGTAACGGTCAGTCGCAACCTCCAGTTGCGACCTTTCGAGTCTTTTCGCATTCTTTGTCCGCCCCCTCGTGTAACCTCCGTTGACTCGCGTGCTCCCCTTAATCTTCCTTGAGTACAGTGTTACACTTCAGAAACGCTAAAGTCTTTTGAGATATTTCCAACACTCCCCTTCGTTTCTGGAGTGCTGGAGTGTTCAGATCCGGTGACGTTTGTTTGCCCGGTCAGGAGCATGCAGTAGTCGAATTTTGCTTTCGCCAATTTCTTCGTCAGATAATCTGCGGCCATTTCTGTCGTTGGGCAGTAACTGAGTTGAAGTCTCCCCTTCGCGATTTCATCCTTGACGAAGAAGTACCGCAGGGCGATGTGCTTGGTTCGGTTGGCGAAGCCGTCCTTGTTCGCGATTTTGATCGCAGATTGGTTGTCGCAGAGGAGTGAGAAGGCGGGCAGGGTCGCAATCTTCGCTTCCTCGAGTAACTCCCGTAGGTAGAGTCCTTCCTTGGTCGCAGTACAAAGGGCGATATACTCTGCTTCAGCCGAGGATAGTGCGATTAACTCCTGCTTGCTCGACTGCCAGGAGATAGTTCCGATGGGTTCTAGTCGGTAGATATAGCCCGTCCTAGATCGTCGATTTTCCCTATCTCCCGCGTGGTCGGCGTCGACGTATCCGAGTAGTCGTGCGGACGGTGTTGTCGCTTTGCTGTAGGTAAGTCCGATCGTCGGCGTGGAGACGAAGTAGAGTAGTGCCCGGTTGAGCTCCTCGAGATCTTCCTGTTCCGGTTGCTTCAGATGCGTCGCCAGTTGACTCGCACTATAGGACAGGTCGGGTCGGCAGGTTGCTGCTGCGAACAGTAGGCAGCCGAGCTTCTGTTGATATTCCTGGATTTGCTTCGCGGGGAGTTTTGCGGAGGTGCTGTTGTTGTTCCCGTAGCGGTAGGGAGTTGGGACCGTAGTCGGTGTTAGACCGAATTTCTTCGCGACGGTGCCTGAGTACTTTCCAGCGTGTAGGTAGAACGCCGTGTCGTCTTCGACGACATTCAGTCCTAGGTACTGGGTCACTTCGTCGGACACCGTGAGTGTTAAGTCTTCTTTCAGCTCCCCTTCGAACCAGGTAGCGATGTCGGTAGTGGAGCCGATGTAGAGCAGGTCGTCGACGTAGACGATGAGTAGGATATACTCTCTTCCCTTCTGTAGTCGGTACATCCCTTGGTCATGCGGCAGTTGTAGGAATCCGATTTTTGCGAGACGGCCGTGGAGATGCTGTTGCCAGAGCCGCGGGGCTTGCTTGATCCCGTATAGGGATTTTGTCAGTTGGCATATTTTCGTGGGGTCGTTGATGAATCCGTGGGGTTGTTCGACGAAAATCTCAGCGTCCACAGGTGCGTATAGGAACGCATTCGCGACGTCGATTTGGCGTAGTGGTAGTGTCTTCGTGGCCGCGACAGCGAGTAGGATGCGTAATGAGGTGTGCCGGGAGACTGGAGCGAAGGTTTCAGTGTAGTCGGTCCCGTATCGTTGATCGAAGCCTCGTACGACCCATCGAGCTTTGAATCGTTCGATGGAGCCGTCTGAGTTGGTCTTAATGCGGTATACCCATTTCCCCGAGAGGACGTTTTTTCCGTTGATGCTTGTTGCAGGTACCAGTTTCCATGTTTTCCGGTCTTGCAGAGCCTTTAACTCCTTTTCCATCGCTTCCTTCCATTTTGCCTTATGTTCCCCCCCCAGAGCCTGCGACAAGGTTGAAGGCTCTCGCGGAGAAGGCGGCGGCGGATGCTGGACGGAGACCCACAGGCCTAGAATCTGCAGTCCCGTGGGTGTGTGTCGAGGGGAATTTTCATTCCCGGAATAAGCTGCTTCGTCACCGTCTTCTGGGTCAGGTAAGAAGTTGGGACCGATGCGTTCTGAAACACTTGGTAATCAGAGCTTTTCTCACTCAGCCGCGCTCAGCTAAGCAGGAGCAGCGGGAAAACCTGATTCGAAAAACCGCCGGGGGCGACTAATTCGGCGCCGATTCTGGTAAGCACCAGTTCCGAGGTTTTCGAATCCACACCCCCCCCCCCCCCCCCCCCCCCCCCCCCCCCCTCCGTGCGTGTTTTGAATAGGATGGCGAACTTCGACAACGTCGAAGTTACCCAGCAGCTCTTCGCGAGCATCGCCACCCTTCAGGAGGAGATGCGAGCCGATCGCGAAGCTTGAGGAAACGAGTTCGAGCGAGTAACTCGACTCACCGGCGCGCAGCATGACGCGACAACGATGACGACGCAGCAATCGCAGCAGTTTCTTGAGGCTCCGAAACCGCGCCCGCCTGAGCCGTTCGATCCGAGCGACCGAAATTCCGACGCCCGCAGATGGATCGCCGGCATGGAGATCTACTTCGCAGCTGTCGGATGGAGCTCGCCAGTCTGGGACGATCAACGCGTATGACTCGCGGCGACACTGATGTGAGGACCGGCACTCGAGTGGATCGGCATGAACAGCATCTTCATCCACGGCAAAGCCACGTGGCAGCAGTTCCGCATCGACCTGCTGAAACGCTTCGAGCCGATAAATTTGGGTTTCCTTGCTCGGGAAAAAAAATCATTGCGATCGACAGTTCGAGAGCGTAGTACAGTACACACAGCAAATGGAAGAATTTTATAACCGCATTCCCGACCTGACCGAAGGGGAAAAAGTACAGTCATATCTCGCCGGGCTGAAGACCGAAGTCAAACGACAGGTAGCAGCGACGAACTACGTGAGCTACAGTGACGTGGTTTTGACAGAGAAACGATTCGACATGGTCAACACCGGGACACGACGGGCGCACATCAGCAGTACACGACAGGGCGATCGCTCGGCTCACACCACGTTCGCCGAACCGATGGAAATCGACAGGTTCGACGGGCGGTCATATCCGAAAAATACCAACTACACGTGTGATTTTTGCGGGGTGCCGGGCCATCGAATCTTCGACTGCAACAAAATGAAAGTCGAACCCGCAGAGCATCGGGCGCGCAATAGTGGCGGAAATGCTTTGGCCAATCAGAAGACAAAAAAAGGAATTCGCCAGTGATCGTGGATCTAGCTGGCGAAAAGAGAAGATCCAGAAGCGGCTGGGGGATTCCGGGAAAATCGACTTCAACAAAGGTGATTCGTCGCAAGCAGGAGAATATTATGGGGAAAAATCTCCACCCCACGACCAGTCCTCGCTTGAGAAAATCGCAGAGAAAAAATCTAACTCCGCGAAAAAGGACTACGCCGAGACGGGGAAACTCCTTGAAGACCCAAGAAATTATAAGGATTCGTTAAAGTTAACTTATAAAGATGCTTGAATGAAGACTTATGATTCTCGAGGGGCCAGAGCCTTGGAGAAATTTCGGGAGGGACTCTAGAAGAAGCAGAAACTTGTGGAGATCATATTGGTACCGGAAAACTTGGGGACAAAATTAAGGAGTGTGCTCTGCAACGATTGTGGACGGCAGCAAGTTACCAGTACACGGCGAAGCAGTGCTACACCTACAAATCGGACCACTGTGCTAGAGAACTGCACTCCCCATCACGAACATAAAAGGGCTTGACTTGATCTGCGGGCGAGACTTCCTAAAACGATTCAACCCCGAGATCATCTAGGTAAATCGTACCGCAAGCATCTACAACAAAGGAAGGAGAGTCCAGCTACCCAACTGGGACGATACAGGAGATATCCTAGTGGAGACACTCGCACGATTCGAGAAGGACGTAAAGCGAACCGACACCGGATTCCTGGCGATAGCAACGGATGTGGAAAGCGACGGAGAGAGGAACTCGGAACCTCCACAAAAAATCAAGGAATTACTGAAGGAGTTCCAAGACATTCTTCCCGACGACCATCTCGGCTCAGCCCCACAGAGCTAGCCAACATGAAGAAGCAGATCGAGTATCTTCTCGCAAAAGGACTCATCCGACCATCCACTTCGCCATAAGGTGCCCCAGTACTCTTCACACCGAAACCGGACGGAAGCCTACGCATGTGCATCGACTACGGAGCTCTCAACAAGCAGACCATCAAGAACAAGTACCCAATCCCACGAATCGATGACCTGCTTGACCAGCTTTGGGGAGCCACGGTATTTTCCAAACTGGATATGTGGTCCGGATACTGGCAGATACGAATGGCCGACAATTCCATCCACAAAACTGCCTTCCGAACTCGATACGGGTCGTACGAGTATCTAGTAATGCCGTTCGGACTAACCAATGCACCAGCAACGTTCCAAGCCGAAATGAACCATATTCTATGCCCACTCTTAGACGAATACGTGGTGGTGTACCTGGACGACATTCTCATCTACTCGCGCGACAGGTAGCAGCACGTCCAATACCTGCGACGCGTCTTCGACATTCTCCGACGAGAACGACTCTCCGTCAAGTTATCCAAGAGCGAATTCGCCCTCGAGAAAGTCCAATTCCTAGGACACATGGTGAGCGCTCAAGGAGTTCACGTCGACCCCAAGAAAATCGAAGCCGTACGTATGTGGAAGACACCTGAGAACGTGAAGGAGTTGCAACAGTTCCTAGGATTCGCTAACTACTACAACAAGTTCGTGCCACAGTACGCAAAAATCGCAACACCACTCACGAATCTGCTGAAGAAGAACACGCCCTATAAGTGCGAACCAAAGCATCAGGCAGCTGGCACAAGCACTCACGTCCGTGCCTGTACTCATCTTGCAAGACCCCGAACGCGACTACGTCATCGAAGCTGACGCCAGCGACCAGGCAGTGGGAGCAGTCTTGATGCAAGACCAGGGGAATGGACTGCAACCAATCGCCTATCTGGGCAAGAAACTACATGGGGCAGAACTCAACTAACCGATACACGACAAAGAGGCCCTTGCTATTATCATCACCTTCGAAACGTGGAGATGTTATCTCGAAGGACAGAAAAAAACCGTTTTCACCGACCAGTGCAGCCTGAAATATTTGAAGACACAACCAAACTTCTCCAAGCGGCAGGTCCGGTGGATTGACTTCCTCGAGACGCACTTCCACTATGACATTGTGTACAAGCCCGGCCACAAAAACAAAGCAGACGCTCTCAGTCGGCCTGCACACGTTGCCGCCATCCAGGTCGAAGGGGTGAACCCACTTCTCAAGGGACTCTTCATACACGGGTACGCCATCGACCCCGAAATTCCTTTGACAGCAAAATGGCACTTGTTACAGTGGGACGGTGACATCGCATACCGGAAGGGATCAACGAAAATATGGTTACCCAATTACCCTCCTTTGCGCCAGTTACTACTCGAAGAATACCACGATCTCCTATACGTGTGACACTTCGGTAGCAACAAGGCGCTCACCGGTATTGCAAAGCACTACTATTGGCCCCACATGGCAGCCGACGTCCAACAATTTGTCACCTCGTGTGCCACATGTCAGCGGATGAAAAGTAGCAAGTAGAAAAAAACAATAGTGCTACAGCCTCTTCCTGTCCCAGAACAGCCATGGCAAGTGGTTAGCATGGACTTCATCACCGGGTTACCAACTACCACCAGCGGTCATAACGCGATCCTAGTCGTCATTGACAAATTCTCCAAAATGGGACACTTCATCCCGACACACACGACAGCACGCACCGAAGAGACAGCACAACTATTCGTTCGCTACATCATCTCACAACATGGCATTCCAATAACACTCATCTCCGACCGAGACCCCAAGTTCACCAGCAAGTTCTAAAAGGAACTAATGTCTCTGCTCGGGACCAAACTCGCCATGTCTTCCGCCTACCATCCGCAGACAGATGGACAGACCGATCACCTCAACCAAATTGTAGAGCAACTTCTTCGCGCAGCATGCAAAGATGAAATCTCTAAATGGGACTTCCATCTGCCTGTCTTGGAGTTTGCCTACAACAATGCCACTGACGCCGCTACTGGACAGACACCGTTCTTCCTCTGCTACGGACGCCACCCGCTCATGCCACAAAAACCGACAGCAATAGCTACAGTTCAACCCGCACACGACATCATCACAACCATGCATCAGCTTTGGGATCGGACCCACAAGCGCCTTCTCGACATTCAGCAGCAACAGAAGTGCCAGGCCGATCGCCACCGCACTGACCATACCATCACCGTCGGAGACCAAGTCCTACTTGACACCGCAATATCAACATCAGTCATCTTCCATCCAAACTGCGACCTCACTTCTGCGGGCCCTTTCTCGTTGAAGTACATGCCACTCCTGTTACCTTCCGCTTACGCCTACCAACTACCTGGAAGATTCACAACGCCTTCCATGTCCAACTTCTGAAGCCCTATCGCGACCCTAACACGGTCTTCACCGGACGCCAACCGCCGCCTCCGCCACACGTCCTCGTCCATGATGAACCCCTGTACGAGGTCGAGTCCGTGCTCGCACACCGCCGTCGACGGAATGGCACCGTGGAGCTTCTCATCCGCTGGAAGGGTTCCTGAATCCGAGATGGGTAACGCCCGTCGTCCTCTTCGCGACTACCTTGTCAAGCAGGGTGTTACTTCTACCACCCAGCTTTGAGGGGGGGAAGTGTGAGAGTACGACCCCGTTACACCAATTCCCCTTTTCCATATTTCCTTTCTATCTCATTCCTCTTTTTCTCTCATCTCATTTGGTTTCCTATTCCTCATTTTCTAATATCCTTTGGTTTATCCTGTTATTATGATTATATCACCGACCAGGCTCGGGATGTACTGGCGCGCTCTATCTAGCGTAATCCTGCCGTAATCCCTTAAAGCCAATAGCCTCGCGTAACTATACGCAGGGTGATTCTATTTCTAGAAGGGTATATTCCCTTTGGATAGGGTAAACCTGGTTACCTGATGTACTTTGGAAGTATAAAAGCACCTTGTATCAACCGATAGTGCAACTTTTCCTCGACACATTCGATCCTGTGACACGTAGTCAAGGCGGGTGGTGTGCAAAAAAGTCAGCGATAGCAATGACTAGGGCAGAGACGCCAGCAGGAGGAGCCGTAGGGTCCGTAACAAGAGAGGCAAGTAAGCGAGAGACCACTAGGCGAGCAGTGCAAGTAGAGTCAGAGGGAGGAGTGGAGGTAAGGTATAGGGACGACAGAGGAGGTAACAATAGGACAGAGACTGGAGGAGCACAAGGACAAATGACCATAGGGTGGACACGAGCACGAGGAAAGACATGACGACCACTAAGGGGACGACGCATCCAGGGTGGGCAACGGGGTACAATACGGGGTACGGAGGAGAACGAGGGGGGAAACGAGCCGGAGACGAGTCCGGGGGAGGGAACAGCGGGTCGTAAACAAGGGCAGGCGGGGGGTTTAGGCACTGTGAGAGGCACTTGCTGGCAGGCAGAGGAACCGGAGGAAAGGCCGAGGAGACGAAAGACAGACTGCGGCTGGTGCTGATGCTATTACTGCTGCTGCTACTGTTGTTGCTGCTGCTGCTCCCGGCCCATGCTAGGACCCCCAGTCACACCACTGCCACCGCCAATACTTTCCAAGTTAGTACCCCCAGGACCAGTACCCCCAGAACCACCACCCCCCGAGCCTATGGTACCCCGACGCTGCTACAGCTGTGGCTGCGGTGTCGACTGCTGCTACTGCAGCTGCCGCCATTGGGGAGGCTGGTGAGGTGCCTAGGGCACCGGGGCTGGGGGGAGATGTGCCGCAGCTGTGGTAAGGGCATCCCCAACCACGGGGCTCCTAGAGTCAGTAGTCTCCCCCACAGGCCCAACCGAGGGGAGGGGGGCAGCGTGGGAGACACCAGACAGGGCCCGGGAGGGTAGGGGGGGAGCGACAGGCGAGGCAGAGGCGAGGAAGCGAGGGGTAGGAGGAACACGAGTGCCACGGTGAGGGAAGCGAGCGTAGAAGAAGATAGACTCATCAAAATTAACATTACGGGAGCGAAAGAAGCGGTGCTGCACTGGGTGGTAGAAGAGGCATTGAGCGGGAACCCAAGGAAGACACACGGGAGGTGCAGGCCGAGAGCTGGTAAGCGCTGGTGTTGCGAACGTGAGCTAGATAACCCCTGAAGTGGAATGCAGACGCCTCACTAGGGAACCCAGTCTAGAGGAGGGTCGGAAAAACTTGTGGCCGCGATGTTCTAAGCACAGGTTAAGCTGGTGAGCTGTGTAGCACACCGCGAACGGCCACAAAAGATGGAAGGCACCATAATGGACCATGTAGGTGCGAGCCACCTCCATGATCAGGCCAATGCGTCGCTCAGCTACCCCATTCTGCTGCAGCAAGTCTGGTAGGGTAAACGTCTGGGTGATGCCCTCGGCACGGTAGACTGCTCCAAAACGGCCAGAGGCGAACTCGCCACCACGGTCGGAGTGAAGGCGGAGCATGTGCAGGGGGTGCTGGGCGCAGACGACTCGGAGCCACAGGAGGAGGATGTCAGGCACATCGGCCTTCCGCTCGAGCGAGAACACCGCGGTATACCACGATAAGTCGTCTACGACAACCAAGAAGTAGCGCTTCCTGTGAGGCCCAGAGATACGGGGCGGTGCCCTAGATGTCCATGTGCAGGGTCTGGAGTGGTGTAGTGACTAGAGGAAAAGAGGAGGTGTGAGGGGTAGCGCGCTTCGGACCCTCGACGCAAAAGGTGCACGCGGGTGCGACCGAGGCGAGGAAGGCGGGGAGCGTCGCTTGGAGACCAGGCCATGTGTCCCATATGACGGATATGCGAGAGTGCAGGGTGACCTAAGCAGTGATGCTAGGGAGACCGGTACGGGTGCCGGAAGTAGTGTGAGAGCAGTGCGGTCTTGAAAGAAGCAGTGAGATGCTCCGGGGTCGAGTGTGAAAGAGAGGGCCGCCGCAGCAGGGGCCGGTGGGGGAACGGTATGGGATCCAAGACTACACATGGCATAGGAGCCTAAACTATACACAACAGAATAATAGGAATCAGCAATAGTACAATCATCAGAGAACAAATAAACCATGACAGTACCTATCTGAGCCACCTCCATCTCAAAAGTCGGGACGCTACGGTGGAGCAGTGCAGGCCAGTCCGGTGGGGCCACCAGGGGCCCAAATTGGCCACGGAACAGGTCATCCATGCGGCGAAAGCAACGGTCGACAGTATGACCCGTGCGCCCGCAGATTGTGCCGTGCAGAGGGCCGGTCTGCACCCGGTACGCGCAGCGCACAGCTCCCGCAGGTCCCACGCCGCCCTGGCCCACGGAGGAACCATTCGAACCCCAGGGCATCGACTGCCCCAGGGCCCAGCCACCAAGGCCTGCACCACGCCCAACACTCCCAGGGCCCACCGGCCCCCACGGCAGCAGCTGCTGCTGCAGCTGTTGCTGCGACCTCTGCTGCTGCTGCCGTGTCGCATCACTCAGGTGAATGTTGCAAGTCTGATATGAGGCTCGTAGGAACACGCTCTGAGTAATAATGCCTCTGTGTGTCGTACAGTTCGTGCCTGTTACCGTATATGTTATTCTGAAGGTTGCGTTAGCACGAGACGAGGGGCTTTGCTGGATTGCAGACATTATGTACACTACTGTTTACAGAAAATGTGCTCCACAGTATCACACTACTGAACACACTACCGCCGCAGCACCACTACATGCATAGCTAAGGATTATGTCAGCAGAAAGATGGGCGAGTATATTGGGGAGGCAGACTCGGGCATCGCTCATTCATGTGGGCGTAGAGGGGGATGGAGTTGAAGCCCGGCAGGTCAAAGCGCCACTTGCCCAGCAGCTGGCACCATGTCCGTGCACCACTTGCTGCCTCTCCATCTTGCTCACTACCACACTCCCCATCGCTCATTTCCCTCCCTGCTCTGCTGTCTCTCCCTCTGTGTATCTCTCCATCTTGCTTCGTGTGCTCCTGGCCGAAGCACCAGGCGGGCAGGTGGGAGGCGTTGGAGGCAAACACCTGCAGCTGGTAGGCGTCTCGGATCTGATGTGGGGGGGGGAGGGTGGGCAGAGGCATGGGGGTGGGCGGGAGCACAGGGACGAGAGGGAAAGGGCAATGGAAGGGCAAAAGCCGGAGCTACGAAGCATGGTAAGCACGAATGACACGGTTGGTGCCTATAAAGGGAGGAGGGTAGAGAAGGTGTTGGCACAACTTGCTGTACTCACAGTGAGTGTGAGTTTGAAGATCGCTGAGACGGGCATGGCATGGTGGAGGCATACGCCCAAGTGGCTAATGGCGTACAGTGGTTGCCGCCGGCAAGTGCACCACAATGCATGACGGCATACCACGGGAGCACAGCAGCATGGCAGTATGCAACCAGCAGCATGGCAGAGTCACTCACTGTGAATTCACTGACGTTGATGGCGTCCCCCATGTCTCCAAACACGCCCGCCTCCTTCCACACGCGCAGGGCGAACGCCACACACGACAGCGACAGCCCGTCACTGTAGCGCCAGTTGTCCTGCTCGGGCACTGCCAGCAGCTGCCCGAACGAAATGTTTCGGCGCTGGCACTCGACCAGCACTTGCTCCAGAGAGAGGTTCTGATTGGTGGGCCGGAATAGAACACACGGAGGCATTTATTCCGTGAAGCGCGATGGCTAGACTGCTGGCTCAGATCTGATATGAGCAATGAGTGACTAGGAGAGATGGATGTAAAGTTGGTCACCTCAAAAGACGTCACTCCATCAGGTGTTAGCACAGGTTCGTGACATGGAGGGGCTGGCCGGCGACCGCCAGTGAAGCGAGGCAACCAGTTCGAGGAGGCATAAAGAGAGCAAAGATGGGAGCGATGGGATGGATGGTAGATTGCCTTTACTTGCACGCTGCACTTGTGCTCGTCTGACTGCAGCTGCACCAAATCACTGCTCATCTCACCTGATTATTCACCTGATGCGCTCACCTGAGTCCCGAGGCGTCTGTTGAGGGCCTCGTTCCATATCCGGGCGGCATATTCCGGCTGCACTCTGCTCCACACCGCTGCTAGGGCGGCCACCTGAGGTAGAGGGGGGGAGGGGTGGAGGGAGTAAACAGCACAGACAAATTTGGGATAACTTTGGGTTGGGGTGTGCCAACAGAGCAGCTCATTCGCAAGCCCATGCACGTCCACATGCCCATACACAGCCGAAATCCCGCACCCCCTTTCCCCCAGCGGCAGCACCACCACATGCTCACTCATCACCCTTGGCCAACGTTTTTCTCTTCATAGGCACGCACCGTGTTCTCATTAATAGCCAGTGAGAAGTTGCTCCCAGCGGTGTCAATCCAGCTGAACACAATGTTATGGTACCCAAACTGCCGGCCCTACATGCCCCTCCCTTCCCCCAGAGGCAGCACCACAACACGCACACCCACCACCCAGGCCTACCGTGTTCTCGTTTATTGGCGGCGGGAAGTTGCTCCCAGCGGTGTCAATCCAGCTGAACACGATGTTATGGTACCCAAACTGCCGCCCCTCCATGCCCCTCACGAACCGCCACGCCCTGCCGTTGTCCCAGCGCCACCGCCCCTCCCTCCCCAGCGGCAGCACCACCACGTGCTGCCCGCTGCGGTCACTCTGCTGCCGCCTCCACCAATCTGCAAACCGCTCCACCGCTATCTCCGGCCGCCCCGCCACGCTGATCCGCCCACTCTCCGCCACCCACAGCTCGCCCTCCTCACCCTCTCCCTCCCCCCCTCGCCCTCACTCCCTCGCTCCCCTACTCCCTGCCCTTTGCTCCCCACGTCCACCCATTGAGCCCCTGCCCCGCCACCCGCCCCTGCCCTTTGGGCCCGGAGCAGCACAGCAGCGTGGGCGGCGTAGCTGCCGGTGACCCACTTCTCAATGGTCTCGAAGAGCCCCCACGGCCCGCGGAACTTGCTGGTCAGCAGCAGGTCGCCGCTGGAGAGGAAGGCCGCAGCGAAGGGAAGTGTGAGGTCGGGGAGCGGGGCCAGGGGACTGGCAGGGGTAATGGGAGGGGATGGGAGGGGGAAAGGGAGGATAGAGAGGGGCGAGAGGGAAAGGAAGGAAGTGTTGCATTTAGTGAAAGAAAACCGCGCTGTGCTGCGCTGTTACGAGAACGCACATAGGTAGAGAGTAGAGCAGTAGGAGTTGCGTTACTATGAGGAGACGAACAGAGAGGGACAGAGAGGGACAGAGAGGGACAGAGAGGGACAGAGAGGGACGTTATTATCATGACGAGGTGAGACTCTGCAGTGCGACTTATGAGTACCGGAATACACATGAGCCGGAAGGAGGCTTAAAGATGGGGCCAGAAGGAGGCTTACACCACATGGGGGTGGAAGGAGCCAGACATACACATGCGGGCGGAAGGAGGCGTTCATGTGTTGGTGCAGGAAGCGCATCTGAGCTGCCTCGCCCACGCTGCTGTCGGACGCCAGCGGCAGCAGCTGCAGCAGCGCCTTGAGTGCCGGCCACAAGCCGTGGGGCAGCCGGAACACAGCAATGCCGCGCTGCTTGACCTGCGGGGGTGGGAGAAACGGCAGGGGGAGAGGGGTTGGCAGAGAAAAACATGCTGTCGCGTGAGTGAGAACCATCCGAGACATGGGAAACACCAGAAACATCAGGAACACAAATGACGGACATAGTAAGCCTCAAGCGCCCCCATGTTGGGTCACATGACTGTCTGCTGCAGGGCAAGGGGCAACAGGAGGCGCACCACGGGGCACACATGCACACAGGGATGCATGCGCGCATGCACGCACCACATTCCCACGCACTGCACGTACATAGTCTGTCTCCAGCGGCCCCATGGGCGGCCACTCAATGGTCTGCCGCAGGGCGAGGGGCAGCAGGCGCACCACGAGGTGGAAGGGCGTGGCCAGGGCGTACACGTCCGAGCACAGCACGTGCTGCTTGTGGCGCGGCTGAGGGTGGGTGGGTTGGGGAGAAGGGGGTGAGGAAATAGACATGGGCAAAATGCGATTGAGTTTTAAATCGCATCGCATTGGGGGGCGATTTAATTAAATGCGACGCGATTTTTAAATCGATCGCGTTTCAAAACAGAATGAAAAATCACCCCAAAAAAGCAGAAAAAAAAGCATGGCGGCCGGGAAATTGAATCATGGGCAGTCGTAAGCTAGAGTGCAAAAAAAATTGTGTGGTTTCGTGGTGGGTTTCAGAGTGAGTTTCAGTGCGACATCGTGTGCGATTAAAAAAAAATTCGCATATCGCATTTAAATCGCGTTTTCCAGCGCGATTAAAATGCGATTAAAATTAAATCGCGCGATAAACAATTCATCGCATCGCGCAATGATTATTTAAAAAAAACCGCAATCGCAAAAATGCGATGCGATGCGATTTTTTCTGCCCATGTCTATTAGGAAAGGCACATTGGGGAAGAGGGCGTGGCGAGGGAGGGCGTACACGCCCGAGCACAACACGTGCTGAGCTGAAGGAGCTGAGGGAGGGGTGGGAGGGAGCGGAAGGCAGGAAAGGAACGCTGGGGGAGAGGGCGTCGTGAGAGCATACACGCCCGAGCACAGCACGCGCTGCTTGCGATGGGGCTGGGGGTGGGTGGGGATGGGGAGGTGGGGAAGACATGCTGGGGTGGAATTGGAGAAGGAGGTCGTCACTAACGACGTCCAATGAGAACCTCAGGCGGCCACCGCAGATGGTGTGGCCACCGCAGATGGGGATGGCAGTAAAGCATGGGGGCCAAAGAGGTGCGTTACAGGTGCGGTTTGGTAAGGAGGGTTGAAGAGAGTGCAACGTAGGTCGCCGTGTTGGGGCAATGGTTGCCGCGTGGCGAGGAGGGATGGCAGGCGAGTAGCCAAGGGCGGTACGACTGGTATGGCAGAGCGAACACGCAGCAGAGCACACAGCAGAGCACCGCCCTACCAAACGTCGTTTATGATTAGGGGCTCGCCGTGCAGGGCACGCACCGAGAGGGTCACAGTCACTGCAGCCTGCCCACTCGCCCGCCCATCCGCCCTCGCCCCATTCCCCACCTCGACCTCCGCCTCTACTTCCTCCTGCATCGCCACCACCCACTCTCTCTCTCCCCCCGTGCCTCTCGTCCCTCTCCTCCTCGCCCGCATCCCTCCACTCGCTGCCTGCCCACCACCCCAACTCTCGTCTCTCACGCTTCTCCTCTTCCCCGCCGAATCTTCCCCGCGCCTAGTCGGTTCCGCCACGGGGCCGGTCCTCAACCCCACGCGCTCAGCCCTCCGCGCCAACGCCAGCCGCGCCGTGACCAGCTCGAAGCAGCTGCCGCCCCATGCGAGCCCCTCGCCGCCCGTCGTCACGTGGCCCAGGTACTCGGGCAGAATCGCCGACGCGTCGCCCACGCCGCGCGACGGCGACGGGCGACGGTATGGCGACTCAGGTGAATCGCGTATCGTCGCATGACGAGGCAGAGAACCATCCACGGAAGGGGCGGCGGCAGCGGCGGCGTGTGAGGAGATGGCGGGAGGAGACAAGGGCAGCAGCGAGGGGGAGAAATAGGACGCGATTGATGACGGGATTGAGATGGCCTGCGAGAGGGAGGGCGGGACTAAAGCAGATCGGAGAGGCGAGAATCCAAGGGAAGAGACGTTAGAGGCGAGTAAGGGCCCCCTGGCGACTAGGAGCGTGATAAGGGAAAGGGCGAAAAAGAGAATTAAACTGACGGCGGCCGTTCGAGCGAGTGATGCCATCGCTGGTGAAAGAACTGTGGTGGGCTGACCGAGCGTGGCGGTAAATAAATAGAGAGTGGGGGGCTGGAAGCGGGGCGCGATTATGCACAGGATGAAACGAGCTGAATGAAACAAGGGTATTTTGTTGGGCAACATTGGGCGGCTGATCTGTACGGACAAGATTTGTTCTCAGAACTAGAATACGTCATCTTTCCAATCGGCGCCATTACGAACAGTTCTGAATCATCAGAATTTGCGTCATTTTCCGTTCTGATCCAGGGAAAGATGTATCTACCGTTCAAAACGCGAAACATAGGCACAAACCTGTTTCAACCCCCCAAACGCAACCGAATCTCGGTTTTCGTTAATATTTTCGCTAGTGGCCCTACTTCGTTATCCTCACCATCAATGACGCAGTACTACGACTCATATAAATATACAACATGTTAATTGAACTTACATCTTGAGCCTTGTTGCATCATTGGATTTACACTGGCAGGAAAATTTGTCCGGATGTTTAGCATGTTTTTGCATTTTAACGTGCTGTACGCTGTAAACATTAAGCCTTAATCCATAGTGGTCATACACGTAGAGAAGAGCTGTTAGAGCACTCACTCAAGTCTCCTAAAACCAGAATAGTATAGTACATGGTCCTTCAACACAAGAACATTTAATAACAGCACATCCGGACAATTTGTACCGAGGACAGGCAGCAAACTAGTTCCTAGCAAAAATAGTACCTAGTACAGGGTCCCTTTGCGCAGATCACCGTCTTGATTCTTCTTGGCATACTGTCGATGAGGTTTGAGCACACTTCCGTTGGAATATTGTCCCATTCCTCCTGCACCCTCTCCCACAGCTCCAACATTCCACTGGGAGGCTTGCCTTACTTCGCCAGCTCCCTTTTCAAGTGTGCCCACATGTGCTCTATCTGGTTAAGGTCTGGGGAGGACGATGGCAATTCCAGCACTGCATACTCCTGCTCCCCAAGCCAGTCTTGCACCAGACGTGACTTGTGTTTGGAATCATTATCGTACTGGAATATGACCTCTGAGGGGGGGAGCTTGTAAAAATCAATGGTTTGAGATAGTTCGTCTTACAAGATGTTGCGATACAGCGGCCCATCCATTCTTCCATCGATCTTGCACATGAACCCCGCCCCCTTATACGTCATACAACCCCACACCATCACAAAGCCAACCCCATGCTTAACTGTATGCTGGATTTGGTGGCTCTGGAGTTTGCTGCCCGCGCGAATCCAGGCGTACGCACGTCCGTCGGAGTAGAAGCGATTAATCTTCGTCTCATCGGACCATATCACGCGCTTCCAGTCCTCCATCGTCCAGCCGGCATGAGACCTCACTACAGTACCCTACAGTACCAAGCGTTGGAGTGAGGGCGAAATGTACAGTACCATGCATTGGAGTGAGGGCGAAATATACAGTGCCAAGCGTTGGAGGAGGGCGAAATGTACAGTACCGAGGGTTGGGGCGATGGCGAAATGTGCAGCGCCAGGCTGGCGCGAAAAAAATCTCTCCCCTCGCAATTATTACACTCGTTTGGTTGTTGGGCTGCCGTGAGCGGGAAAACTGCCCAAAATGGGCGGGGGTTTCGTCCACTGACCATTCGTGGAAATGTTTAACAGCAGTCACTGACTAAACGTGGAACCCGACTGACTATTCGTGTGACGAACTCACTAATTCTGATTGTCTATAGCGTTCCACTGACCGTACGTAATAGCGGGGACACTAATACTGAGCGCGGATGTACTTTCCCCATTTAGAATCTTGCTATTCACTTCCGCGCTGCTCTGGGTTTCCACCCATAACAAGTTCACCTCACACAAACGCGATCAGGGCGTGTCCAGCGTGTACGTTTAATTGCGGCTGGGTGAGGTGTCTCATGGATCAGAAGGATCGATACCGAATCTAAAAAGGTTGGGTAGGGTTTTGACAAAAAACGTACTCGCTGGACACGCCCTCAGGGATGCGCTTGTAGGCAAAAGTACCTCGGGGGTGTCGTGTAACACGTTCGGAATACGTACGAGAGACGTACTGTTTCATGCGGACGTTCGATCCAAGGTTTGGGCTCACGCTGTTCGCGCATGTTCGGTTCTCACGCAGCGGCGAAAGTGTCAGCCCGCTACCGACATTCGCAACAGCATATGCCGCGAGGCGTGGCGAAACACATTTCCAGGCAAAATGCGCGAGACCCTAATAGAGTAAAACTGCAAGATCTGATACTTGAAGAAACACTTCGGTTCGGTCCCTTCAGGATGAGGGGGTTCGGATGGCAGATCAAATTATTGTAATTTTGAAACCAAAGATGTAGTACACTTGTTGTTTTTTATTGTTAAGTCCGAAAATGTCTAGATTTTAATCCCACGTACCAGTTTCTCAGCATGACTGGCTGCAGTCTGAACGATAACGAACTGTCAAGTCGTATTTCGACAATTGCAAAAATCCGAGCTGGGAGGTCGCGCAGGCAAATTATGTAGTGCATGAGCGAGACTTTGTAACCCAAGTGTCAGTGTTTACTGTGGGTTTTCCCCTTCAATGTCCCCCGTTTACAGGCTTGAGCCACATGGGAAAAACAATCTTGGTACCCAATAGGAGAGAAAGTGTACCACCATCCTTGCACCAGGCCGATCTGGACGCTTGGCCCGACTGGCCCCTCCCTGCTCCTGCATGGCTCGAGTCTCAACTCGACCCCTCGTCTCATTGTCACTAATCTCCCTCTCGCGCCGCATCTCTCGCTTATAGCACCCCCCTGCTCCACGTGCCTTTTCTCTTCAGCGCAGTGATAGCCCTCGACTTGATTCGCGAACCCACTGCGACATGATGCTATGTTACAGCGTGGTAACATGTTGACACGTCACAACCCGGCGAGGCGGCCAAATCGAGGCATCTGTAGATGCGGTAAGCGTCGAGGAAACGACGATTTGAACGGTCGTGATTGTAGGATGTATTATGCAGTACGCGATCACCTCATCGTCGTCGTCCATGGGTGATCATGGCGGGGAGATCAAACTGGTGCACGTTCCGAGTCGGACCTCGTCGGTATTCGACGAGAGATCATCAGTCGGGATGCGTCGTGGGATTGCATTCACCGCAGGCACGTCGGATTGCATTTCACTGCGGCCGGGCCGCCTGCCTGCTCGTGCGCGTTCTTTCGCCCTTTCCCTCGATCTCCCCTTTCCATTGCTGACAGTGGACTATAATTGCTCCCAGGGTGTCCCTCCCGGCCTCCAGGCACCGATTTGCCTAATTTACGCTTCACTGGTCACAATCGCAGTTACGGAGGCTACAGTAGCAGCGCTGGTTACAGCGGTTACAGTCGCGGCGGTTACAGTCACGGCGGTTACAGTCGCCGTCATCACACGGGGAATTTGTATGGCGACAACCATCTGCTCGCAGTGCTCCTCCTGGCTTGCCTCGCCATGCGCCCAGCCATGGCTGCGGGTGCGTGTCACGGTTCATGATGTCACGGCTCATGATGGCACGGCTCATGATGTCACGGTTCATGATGTCACGGTTCCTGCTGCTGGGCGCACGCCCATGCTCTCGTTACTGTCACGTGACAAGCACACGGCAGTTGCTTCTGAATTGTTCACGTTGTGACAGTGTTTTTCACTGTGCCACCCATCGCTGTGCCACCCATCGCTGTGCCACCCATCGCTGTGCCACCCATCGCTGTGCCACCCATCGCTGTGCCACCCATCCCTGTGCCACTCATTGCTGTGCCACTCATTGCTGTGCCACCCATTGCTGTGCCACTCATTGCTGTGCCACTCATTGCTGTGCCACTCATTGCTGTGCCACTCATTGCTGTGCCACCCATCTCTGAGCCTTTTGCCCCCTCGCAGTGCCCCTGTGCAGCAAGTGCCTGTCGTCCGATCTCTTGCCCGTGGCAGAGGACGGCCAGGATGGCCGCCTGGGTCGAGTGCAGCAGTTCGAGCGATCTCTGGCCGATCAGATGTGAGTTTGAGCCATCTCTGGCAGATTCTATGTGAGTTCAAACCAAGTTTACCTCTTGCAACGTGTGTCTGTGATTATAGCCTTTCTTCGCCCCATCCCTCCCTTCCCTCCACTTCTCCCTCCCTTCCTGTTGAATTCTCCCCTTCCTCCCCTCCGTTTCTCCCTCCGTCCTCATCGTAATCGCCTCCTTGTCTTGTATACCTCTCGTGCCGTCTTGTCTTCCGTGACCCTTCGCCATCATGTTGGACTACTTTGAGCTCCAGACCGAGCATGAAAGCCCGACCCGCCAGCCACATGGAGTGCCGGGACGCCCTGCTATCCTCAGCAGCTCCATTGGGCGGCACGCTCGACACTTCTACCCTCCCCGCCATCATGATGGACTTCTTCGAGTCGAGCTCCAGCCCAAGTTCGGCCCGTATCTTGAAAGGTTGTCGCTGCCCTCCCCCCCTCCTTCCTCCTCCCTCTCCCCCCAGCCACATGGAGCGCCGGGACGCCCTGCTATCGTCAGCAGCCCCCTTCGGGCGCACGCTTGACACGTCCACCCTCCCCTCTATCATGATGGACTACTTCGAGCTCCAGACCAAGTACGGCCCGCGGCTCAAGTGCCGCGGGCCGCCCTGCCCCAAGTTCGGGCACTGCGGGCGGGCCTTTCCCAACGTGAAGGCGTGCTGGAACGAGCACCTGGCCGACACCTCCCCCGTCTTCCCCGCACTGCCGCTCAACTGCCCCCGACTGCAGCCGGTGGAGGACGTGAGGAGGCTGCGGCGGCCGTGGCAATTCATCAACCCGCAGTGCTCTCATAGGTTGGATGCGAACGCGAGGGGTGCGACGGCCATGCAGGTGTTCAAGCTGACGGACGTGTACAGCGTGTATGGCGGCTATGTGTTCAACCGGACGCACATGTTCAACCGCAACGGCTGCCTGCGCTTCCTCAAGGTGCGGCTATGGGGGATTGGTAGATGTCAAGTTTCTTCTGTGCTTCGAACATGGCCGTTATGCGCTGTACACGTGCTCCGCATACCCCATACATGCCCCTCGTGCCCCACACATGCTCCTCGTGCCCCATACATGTCCTTCATGCCCCATACATGTCCCTCGTGTCCCGTACATGCCCTTCGTGACCCATACATGCCCGTCGTGACCCATACATGTCCCTCCTGCCCCATACATGCCCTTCGTGACCCATACATGCCCGTCGTGACCCATACATGTCCCTCCTGCCCCATACATGCCCTTCGTGACCCATACCTGTCCTTCCTGCCCCATACATGCCCGCCGTGCCCCATGCATGCCCATCGTGCCCCGTGCATGCCTGTCGCGCTGCATACATGCCTGTCGCGCTGCATACATGCCTGTTGCGCTGCATACATGCCTGTCGCGCTGCATACATGCCTGTCGCGCTGCATACATGCCTGTCGCGCTGCATGCATGCCTGTCGCGCTGCATACATGCCTGTCGCGCCGCATACATGCCTGTCGCGCTGCATGCATGCCTGTCATGCTTCGCACTGCATATCCCCTTCACTCCCCCCTCGCCCCTCCTTTCATTTCATCCTGCTTCTCCCCTGCCCTCCCTCTCTCTCCCACCTCACATCCCTCCCACGCTCCGTCCTCTGCAACTTGAACTCTAGTTTCAAGCCGCTTCAAATAAAACTCCTTCTACCCTCCCTCACAACCAGACCCCCTCTCCATCTCCCGACCTTTTCTGACCTTTTCCAACCTTTTCCCCTTTCCCTCCCACCACCCCCTGACCTCTGGCATGACACTGTACCAACTCAAGGCAGTGTTCAACTAGGCCTACCTGCTGGGCCAGCAACTACTTCTCCTTTCCGTTCTTCTCATTCCCATTCCCTCATCCTACTCCCCTCCCCTCCCCCCTCTGTTGCAGACCACCCTGACCCCTGACATGACATGGCAGGCAGGGTGCGGTGTTGGGACTGTCGCCAGGCCGGCAACCTACGCTGCTCCCCCACCTTTCACTATCTTCCCTCATGTTTCTTCTGACTTCTCCCTTCCCCACAGACCACCCTCTCACCCCTGAAATGACATGAGAGTGTATTCGACTGGAACCACAACCAGGCCGGAAACTTCTCCTCCCCTCCTGCCCTCTTAATCCTCCTTCTAGCACATTTCTCCCATACCCTTCCCTTCTTTCCCCTTCCCCGCCTCCCCCCAGACCACTGTGACCTCTGGCATGACAGTGCACCACCTCAACACGTTCTTCAGCTGGAACCACCGCCACGCTGGCAACCCTTCTTCCTCTGCCTCCATGGCATGTTCTCCCCCCCAACTCCCCCCCAACTCCCCCCCAACTCCCCCCCAACTCCCCCCCAACTCCCCCCCAACTCCCCCCCAACTCCCCCCCAACTCCCCCCCAACTCCCCCCCAACTCCCCCCCAACTCCCCCCCAACTCCCCCCCAACCCCCCCCAACCCCCCCCCAACCCCCCCCAACTCCCCCCAACTCCCCCCAACTCCCCCCCAACTCCCCCCCAACTCCCCCCCAACTCCCCCCCAACTCCCCCCCAACTCCCCCCCAACTCCCCCCCAACTCCCCCCCAACTCCCCCCCAACTTCCCCCCAGACCACCCTGACCCCGGACATGACAGTGTACCATCTGAAGGCGGTCTTCAACTGGGACTACCGCCAGGCGGGCAACTTCTACCACTTCATCATCGAGGCCGTGCCGCTGCTTTACGCCGCCGCGCAGCTGCTGCCCACACTGAAAGACATTCCAATAGCCGCCAAGAGCGACCAGGTACGCTTGACTCGCATCCCCGTTGCCCGTGCAACTTCCACCATTATCGAGGCCGTCCTGCTGCTCTATGCCGCTGACCAGCTGCTGCCGACACTGAGAGACATTCCAGTTGTTGCCAAAAGTGAGCAGGTACGAATGGGCTTGCATCCCCAATTCCTCATCAAGGCTGCGCTGCTCTCCTCTGCCGCCCGCCTGCTGCCCAGCCTGCCCTTGTGAAAGAATCGCTGCCAAGAGCGACCAGGTACCCCACACTCCCTTCTCAAACGGTCTCTCGTATCAACGCGGTGGCCCGTATAGGAAGTTCACTGCCGAATTTCTCCAATGGGAAGTGTATGGCAAGATGGGGCTACCACCTGGCTGCCTAAAGTCGGTGTTTTTTGGGGCGCATCCGAAGCAGCCATGTTCATATCACATGGAATTCTCCCTTCCCTCCCCAGTGACCTGTCCTGTCCCCCGATTCCCCCCCTCCCTCCAGTGAGAGGTGTTCCACAAGATGGGGCTGCCCATAGTGGCCGTGCCTCTAATGAGTGCATCGGCACACCCCTTGCTCCTGCCCTGCCCGCCTCGCCCCTCAAAACTCCCCCTCTCCCGTTCCTTCCCCCCGTGCTGTGCCCCTTCCTCGCTCCCTTTCGACAATATCGACCCGCCTGTAGGGTTCTAGGAAGCCAACCCATCTCCACATGGCGCCCCTCTTCCTCCCCAATGACTCCCTTCCCCCCCCCCTTCGCCCTCCCCTTCCCCCCCTCTCCCTCCCCCCCCCCTCGCCAGTGGGTGGTGTACGACAAGATCGGGGTGCCCATAGTGGGCGTGCCTCGCGAGGACATGTGGACCATCAGAGTGCGCGCATGGGAGATCATACATGCTGACACCATGTGGCAGGTGAGATCATACACGCTGATACCACGTGGCAGGTGAGATCATACACGCTGACACCATGTGGCAGGTGAGATCATACATGCTGACACCATGTGGCAGGTGAGATCATACATGCTGACACCATGTGGCAGGTGAGATCATACATGCTGACGCCATGTGGCAGGTGAGATCATACATGCTGACGCCATGTGGCAGGTGAGATCATACATGCTGACACCATGTGGCAGGTGAGGTCATACACGCTGACACCATGTGGCAGGTGAGATCATACACGCTGACACCATGTGGCAGGTGAGATCATACATGCTGACACCATGTGGCAGGTGAGATCATACACGCTGACACCATGTGGCAGGTGAGATCATACATGCTGACACCATGTGGCAGGTGAGATCATACACGCTGACACCATGTGGCAGGTGAGATCATACACGCTGACACCATGTGGCAGGTGAGATTATACACGCTGACACCATGTGGTAGGTGAGATCATAAATGCTGATACCATGTGGCAGGTGAGATCATACACGCTGATACCATGTGGCAGGTGAGATCATACATGCTGACGCCATGTGGCAGGTGAGATCATACATGCTGACACCATGTGGCAGGTGAGATCATACACGCTGACACCATGTGGCAGGTGAGATCATACACGCTGACACCATGTGGCAGGTGAGATCATACATGCTGACACCATGTGGCAGGTGAGATCATACACCCTGACACCATCTGGCAGGTGAGATCATACATGCTGACACCATGTGGCAGGTGAGATCATACATGCTGACACCATGTGGCAGGTGAGATCATACATGCTGACACCATGTGGCAGGTGAGATCATACACGCTGACACCATGTGGCAGGTGAGATCATACATGCTGACACCATGTGGCAGGTGAGATCATACATGCTGACGCCATGTGGCAGGTGAGATCATACATGCTGACGCCATGTGGCAGGTGAGATCTTACATGCTGACACCATGTGGCAGGTGAGATCATACACGCTGACACCATGTGGCAGGTGAGATCATACACGCTGACACCATGTGGCAGGTGAGATCACACATGCTGACACCATGTGGCAGGTGAGATCATACATGCTGACACCATGTGGCAGGTGAGATCATACATGCTGACACCATGTGGCAGGTGAGATCATACATGCTGACACCATGTGGCAGGTGAGATCATACATGCTGACGCCATGTGGCAGGTGAGATCATACATGCTGACGCCATGTGGCAGGTGAGATCATACATGCTGACACCATGTGGCAGGTGAGGTCATACATGCTGACACCATGTGGCAGGTGAGATCATACACGCTGACACCATGTGGCAGGTGAGATCATACATGCTGACACCATGTGGCAGGTGAGATCATACATGCTGACACCATGTGGCAAGTGAGATCATACACGCTGACACCATGTGGCAGGTGAGATCATACATGCTGACACCATGTGGCAGGTGAGATCATACACGCTGACACCATGTGGCAGGTGAGATCATACATGCTGACACCATGTGGCAGGTGAGATCATACATGCTGACACCATGTGGCAGGTGAGATCATACATGCTGACACCATGTGGCAGGTGAGATCATACACGCTGACACCATGTGGCAGGTGAGATCATACATGCTGACACCATGTGGCAGGTGAGATCATACATGCTGACGCCATGTGGCAGGTGAGATCATACATGCTGACGCCATGTGGCAGGTGAGATCATACATGCTGACACCATGTGGCAGGTGAGATCATACACGCTGACACCATGTGGCAGGTGAGATCATACACGCTGACACCATGTGGCAGGTGAGATCATACATGCTGACACCATGTGGCAGGTGAGATCATACACGCTGACACCATGTGGCAGGTGAGATCATACATGCTGACACCATGTGGCAGGTGAGATCATACATGCTGACACCATGTGGCAGGTGAGATCATACATGCTGACGCCATGTGGCAGGTGAGATCATACATGCTGACGCCATGTGGCAGGTGAGATCATACATGCTGACACCATGTGGCAGGTGAGGTCATACATGCTGACACCATGTGGCAGGTGAGATCATACACGCTGACACCATGTGGCAGGTGAGATCATACATGCTGACACCATATGGCAGGTGAGATCATACATGCTGACACCATGTGGCAGGTGAGATCATACAGGCTGACACCATGTGGCAGGTGAGATCATACACGCTGACACCATGTGGCAGGTGAGTTTATACACGCTGACACCATGTGGTAGGTGAGATCATAAATGCTGATACCATGTGGCAGGTGAGATCATACATGCTGGCACCATGTGGCAGGTGAGATCATACACGCTGACACCATGTGGCAGGTGAGATCATACACGCTGACACCATGTGGCAGGTGAGATTATACACGCTGACACCATGTGGCAGGTGAGATCATACATGCTGACACCATGTGGCAGGTGAGATCATACACGCTGACACCATGTGGCAGGTGAGATCATACACGCTGACACCATGTGGCAGGTGAGATTATACACGCTGACACCATGTGGTAGGTGACATCATAAATGCTGATACCATGTGGCAGGTGAGATCATACATGCTGACACCATGTGGCAGGTGAGATCATACACGCTGACACCATGTGGCAGGTGAGATTATACACGCTGACACCATGTGGCAGGTGAGATCATACACGCTGACACCATGTGGCAGGTGAGATCATACATGCTGACACCATATGGCAGGTGAGATCATACACGCTGACACCATGTGGCAGGTGAGATCATACATGCTGACACCATGTGGCAGGTGAGATCATACATGCTGACACCATGTGGCAGGTGAGATCATACATGCTGACGCCATGTGGCAGGTGAGATCATACATGCTGACGCCATGTGGCAGGTGAGATCATACATGCTGACACCATGTGGCAGGTGAGATCATACATGCTGACACCATGTGGCAGGTGAGATCATACACGCTGACACCATGTGGCAGGTGAGATCATACATGCTGACACCATGTGGCAGGTGAGATCATACATGCTGACACCATGTGGCAGGTGAGATCATACATGCTGACACCATGTGGCAGGTGAGATCATACAGGCTGACACCATGTGGCAGGTGAGATCATACACGCTGACACCATGTGGCAGGTGAGATCATACACGCTGACACCATGTGGCAGGTGAGATCATACATGCTGACACCATGTGGCAGGTGAGATCATACATGCTGACACCATGTGGCAGGTGAGATCATACACGCTGACACCATGTGGCAGGTGAGATCATACACGCTGACACCATGTGGCAGGTGAGATCATACACGCTGACACCATGTGGCAGGTGAGATCATACACGCTGACACCATGTGGCAGGTGAGATCATACATGCTGACACCATGTGGCAGGTGAGATCATACATGCTGACACCATGTGGCAGGTGAGATCATACATGCTGACACATGTGGCAGGTGAGATCATACACGCTGACACCATGTGGCAGGTGAGATCATACATGCTGACACCATGTGGCAGGTGAGATCATACATGCTGACACGATGTGGCAGGTGAGATCATACATGCTGACACCATGTGGCAGGTGAGATCATACACGCTGACACCATGTGGCAGGTGAGATCATACATGCTGACACCATGTGGCAGGTGAGATCATACATGCTGACACCATGTGGCAGGTGAGATCATACATGCTGACGCCATGTGGCAGGTGAGATCATACATGCTGACACCATGTGGCAGGTGAGATCATACACGCTGACACCATGTGGCAGGTGAGATCATACATGCTGACACCATGTGGCAGGTGAGATCATACATGCTGACACCATGTGGCAGGTGAGATCATACATGCTGACGCCATGTGGCAGGTGAGATCATACATGCTGACACCATGTGGCAGGTGAGATCATACACGCTGACACCATGTGGCAGGTGAGATCATACACGCTGATACCATGTGGCAGGTGAGATCATACATGCTGACACCATGTGGCAGGTGAGATCAACCTGACACCATGCAGGTGAATACGCTGACACCATGTGGCAGGTGAGATCATACATGCTGACACCATGTGGCAGGTGAGATCATACATGCTGACACCATGTGGCAGGTGAGATCATACATGCTGACGCCCATGTGGCAGGTGAGATCATACATGCTGACGCCATGTGGCAGGTGAGATCATACATGCTGACAGCCATGTGGCAGGTGAGATCATACATGCTGACACCATGTGGCAGGTGAGATCATACACGCTGACACCATGTGGCAGGTGAGATCATACATGCTGACACCATGTGGCAGGTGAGATCATACATGCTGACACCATGTGGCAGGTGAGATCATACAGGCTGACACCATGTGGCAGGTGAGATCATACACGCTGACACCATGTGGCAGGTGAGATCATACACGCTGACACCATGTGGCAGGTGAGATCATACTGCTGACACCATGTGGCAGGTGAGATCATACATGCTGACACCATGTGGCAGGTGAGATCATACATGCTGACACCATGTGGCAGGTGAGATCATACACGCTGACACCATGTGGCAGGTGAGATCATAAGCACGCTGACACCATGTGGCAGGTGAGATCATACATGCTGACACCATGTGGCAGGTGAGATCATACATGCTGACACCATGTGGCAGGTGAGATCATACATGCTGACACCATGTGGCAGGTGAGATCATACATGCTGACACCATGTGGCAGGTGAGATCATACATGCTGACACCATGTGGCAGGTGAGATCATACATGCTGACACCATGTGGCAGGTGAGATCATACATGCTGACACCATGTGGCAGGTGAGATCATACATGCTGACACCATGTGGCAGGTGAGATCATACATGCTGACACCATGTGGCAGGTGAGATCATACATGCTGACCCATGTGGCAGGTGAGATCATACATGCTGACGCCATGTGGCAGGTGAGATCATACATGCTGAC